GCCTTGTACATAATTGTATATCTTAGTTGCAGGTCCTTGTAGTTGTGGGATGTGGGATGCCGCCTCAACGTGGCCTGACAAGCAGTGCCATGTCCGTGCCCAGGATCTGAACCCTGGGCCGCCGCAGCAGAGCGCGTGAACTTAACCACTCGGCCACAGAGCCGGCCCCATATTTTTTTCTTTTTGTTGCAATTGTAAATGTGTTTGCACTCTTAATTTCTCTTTCTACTATTTTGTTATTAGCAAACATTCTCGTTGGTCTCTGATATTACATGATGTTTCCTGAGAGTTGATATGTAGATGTCAGTCAAACAAAGATGGATTCCTGCATTTTAGAAGGTTTCCGGTGCCACTACCATTATTTTCCCATACCCCACCCCTAACAGGGTACAAAAGAAACTAGAAAAAGGCAACACTATCCACAATGAAGTCTCTTTTGAAGGGCTTCTGAGAGATGGAGCTGAGCTCCCATCCCAACATGTATTTGCTGTGTTTGCAGCTCCCCTGCACCTGTGGATTACCGCAGCCACGTGCTGTCATGCTGGATGGCAGCTACAGCGATGGGGAGGTGAATGACCTGGGCAACTACATGCCTGAGAATGGAGAGAAGCCAGACAGGATGATGGTGCAGCTGACCCTAGCAGCAGAGAGGAGCTCCCCGCAGAGGAAAAATCAGAGGAGCAGCTACGTGAGCATGAGGATCGACACCCATGCCATCGATAAATACTCCAGGATAATTTTTCCAGCAGCATACATTTTATTCAATTTAATATACTGGTCTATTTTCTCATAAATGCCTGTAATTCTATACATTTCACATTCTTCTGTATGTACTACAGAAATACCTGATGAAAAATAATTTAAGGTTATGATGAAAAGTTCCCAGTACCCACCCTTCTCCACCTTTCCAAAAATACATTGACAAGACACTTACTGGTTTAATTTGCACTTATTAACCACCTATTGTATACACAGCATTGTACTCAGTACTGATGACAGTTGTTACTGGGATCCCCTGGAAAAGCACACTGCCAGTGTTGTGGCCACACTGTAGTTCAATCTGAAACTCTAGATGCTCATTCACATGAATAATGTCCTTTATGTGAGCATCATTATATTCTCCGGACTAGGTGGAATTCGGAAGCACCTAAAGTTCATTTGCATGGAACATATATGCACTAAATTCCCACTTTGACCAAAATTCATGCTTCAGTTTATAGCCTATTACATATTTTTTATGCATCTCCTGTTTACTTTAATATGAGTCAAAAATAATACTCTTATTTTTATTTATATCCTGTGCTTCATGGTTTCACCTCTTCACAAGAAAAGCTCTTCAGGTTGGTGCAATGGCTTACGATTTTGGTAGGAATTTCCCTGGTAGGGGAACTTTGAGGAGGGTGTATGCATGCATTTTGTGAGTTTTGTCAGAGAGATAACCTGCCTAGGAAACGTCTGTATAAGTGTTCCCTGTGTCATAATCACTGCTTCACGTATCTCCACCTTGGAGCATGTCCTAGTTTAAGGTGAAGGCCCTTCTCAGTAATGTGACATCTTCACTGAGGAAGTTGGGAATAGACTGATTTTTTTTCCTGTATAAACATTTCAAGAAAATGCATAACTTGGGACTACTAGTAACTCGATAGGAGGAGAAATACTCACATGGTTTCTGAAGAAAAAAAGACCACCACAAAGAAAAAGAAATGGGAAGATATTGCTGGACACCTCCATTCATACTCAGTGAATACCAGCATTTTCTATGAACCAGAAAACAATGGCCACTGCTGCCAGGGCATAGGATCAAGAAGAGGGTTCTAATTTGATGTATTACTTAAAAACATACAATTACTCATACTATATATCTACAGGATCAACCCTCACCAAACTTAACCAAACCACATTTGTTTGAAACTCACTTTAATGAAGTGAATTCTATACACAATAATGTCATTTTCATTCCAAAGTTAATTAGACTGATCATCCATACTAAATAATATCATGATATGTCTTCATATGAGGCTTTATTCTAATCTGAAAAAAAAACGTATTTGCACAAATCCTAATTACAAGGCAATCTCCCATTTTCCCCAATAAAAGCTCATCAAAAGAAAGTCTTTGGGCAAACTTAAGTAGATAAACTTAAAGAGAGATGGGTGAAATAAATGCTAACTTTCAATATTTAAAAAAATTATTTTTAAAATAGTACCTTTTTCATTCTCATTTTATGAAATAAATTCAGTCAAACTCTTCACAACCATCTTTGCCACTTGCTTCTTCCTCACGACCGGGCTACTCTGAGTTGTCCAGCAGGTTTCCAGGGCACATCATCTGAACTTCCATCTACCTCATTCCGGAAACTACACTATCTGAACCAGCATATAGGATGCTGTATTAGTCTGCTTGGGCCGCCCCAGCAAAATACCAGACTGGGGGCTTAAACAACAAATTTATTTTCTCTCAGTTCTGGAGGGTGGAAGTCCAAGACCAAGGTGTTGGCAGGTTTGGCTTCTCCTGAGGCCTCTCTTCTTGGCTTGCAGACGGCCACATTCTTGCTGTGTCCTCACATGGCATTTCCTCTGAGCACACGCGTCCCTAGTGTCTCTCTCTTTTCTTATAAGGACAGTAGGCATATTGGATTAGAGCCCCACTCTTATGATCTCATTTAACCTTAATGACCTCTTTAAAGGCCCTGTCTCCAAAGAAGTCACATTGGGGGTGAGTGCTTCAACATATGAATTTTGGAGGGACACAATTCAGTCCATAACAGATGCCCATGGGAATTATTCATGCGCATTAACAGTTCATCTAATGCATTTTGTAGATATTTAACCTTGATCTCTACAATACAATCACATAATGTTTTTAAAGTGATCTTTAAATGACTTGTTTACTTTGCTATCCACACTAGTAATTATAAGGAATAAGTGATTAAATTCATGTTAAATTTCTTTGCTACCTTTTCTAGCAATTCTCTCAAGTGACCTCTACAAGCACTTAAGACTAGCACTGATTAAGGTCATTTCCATGCTAATATTTTCTCAAGGCAGTACTCAGCTGTCAAGGCTATATAATTGAGAAAGAACTCTGTAATAAGACTTTGTAAAGATCCAAATATAAAGCAATTCCCTCTTTTCTGATGGATAATTTTGGAGAAAACCTCACCATATATGTGAGCATCTAGAGTACTTTATAAACTTTTGCTGGCATGACTGGAGAGGAGGCAGATTTGGTTAGAAATATTGCCTGGTTAAGAGGCAAGTACCATATGCCATAGCGAATAATTTTTAAAGAGTTAAAATACTGTAAAATACACTTGACTAAAACTGTAACAAACATAATTTATTCTCTGCCTGGTGGTTCAGAAGGCTCTTGAGGATTTTGAGGGTTTCTTATCATTGTGGGTTTTTTTGGTGAGGAAGAGTGGCCCTGAGCTAACATCTGTTGCCAATCTTCCTTTTTTTTTTTCCCTCCCCAAAGCCCCAGTACATAGTTGTAGGTCATTCTACTTCTTCTATGTGGGATGCTGCCACAGCATGGCTTGATGAGCGGTGTGTAGGTCTGCACCCAGGATCTGAACAAGTGAAGCCTGGGCCACCAAAGTGGAGTGTGTGAACTTCACCACTCAGCCATGGGGCCGGCCCCCTTTATCACTGTTGTGATACAATGTGGACGTCATAAAGATGTGCAGTGTTAGCCAGGAAAGAACTGCTGTTAGTCAGACCGGCTTTTACCTAATGGCAATATTCTCTTCCTGTGTTACATATTCCTAACCAATGTTCTTTAGGTTTTTTCCTAATTCATATTTTATAGAGAAGAGTAGTGATGCTAGATTTTAGAGAATTAAAAATGGCTTGTCAGTAACAATGAAACTTGACAATTGTAAACCTCCCATTTTGTAAAATCCAATTTTACAAAAAAAGTACTTCACAGCCACTATTTCATTTGAACCTGAAAGAGGAAACTAAAAGCAGAGAAAGGTTGACTGACTGGCATGCAGATAACATGGTCAACAAGCCAAAGACTCCTAACGCGGTTCCCATTCACATTATTACAGGTAATGGACGAATACTGAACAAGTAAACAAACGTCACACACAACACATAAACATCACTGTGAGGAAATATTTTATTTACCAGTCAATGGCACCTTGTTATTCATTCATTGAACAAATAATATTGAGCACCTATTATGTGGTATTCAACGTTCAAATCAGTGCTTCCCAAACCATCTGTGGCGAAGGACCAGTTTTGTTTTATTAAATTTCCAATCCGCAGGCTTCTTGTACGGTGAACTTTTTTAAAGTGGAGAATCCCTCACAAAACCCAGGCCTGCCCCTGCCTTGCACCCTCTAGGAGCACGCACTCATGGGTTTGACCACGGAGCCCGATACCATGTGTGGATGTCAATCATAACGACCACAATAAAGCATGTACAGAAAGAACAATTTCATTTTGATGTTATCAGAACAACTGTGTTACAACAACTGAATTTCAGGGATTGCTATGTACGGGAAATTTCAGTACCTGCAGTAGCAAAGAGTGCATCATCCAATGCACACATCAACGTGAGAATATAGCTCACTTCAGTATTATCACAACTCTCAAAATAAATGGATGCTTTAACTTTTCAATTCCATATTCTGAATTTAATTTTAATCTATTTTCTTTCAATCATTGTTAGTATTAGTACCTTTGTGTGGAAGGAGCTATCTTTATTTTCCTTGAGACCAGAGTATTTTATAAATGCTCTCTGGTTTACTTCAAAAACGATTCACATATTGCTGAGTTCAGTGGGTTTCTTCAAGTGGCTCTTACAGCTCTATAGACACTCAGTCCCTATTGTGACAAAATGTGTGCAGGGCGTCTGGCTACCACAGGCCTGACCATGAGAACTGAACGAAGGCAACTGGGTCTCCCTGAGACTCAAATCCAGGCCTCCCTAAGCCAGGCTAACTTATGTGAGTACCCAACCATCCAACCACAGCTTCTATCTGTAATGGGAGGTGGAAAAGCTTTTTCATTTTTCACGACCTGCAAGTTTTCAATACTGTGTTCAAAACAGCATAACACGTATTAAAGACTCCAAGTTTCAGGTAGGGATACTTCTCGCTTTGTGATAACTCACTAAAGAACTCATACGGAGAGACACAGACCAAGAAGTTAATGAAGGGAAAGAATAAGTAAACTCTTGATGAAAATTTAGTATCTAGTTAGCAGGGGAAAAAACCAAGCACTTCCATTTTCAGGCCAAATAAACACAACCCTAACGACTGCACGATAAAATTCAATCTCTTTGTGGCCTATACAAGCCCGACAGTTTGACTAGTCTGATGAATTGAACAGTTAGTTGATTTGGCATTTTGTAGATTGAACCCTCCTATACCTATTGAAACTTTGTGGCTCTCCAACATATAAAAGCCCTGTAAACCTTTTACAGATCTAATTTATTCTGAAACCTGAAAATAACACAGGGCACCACAATGCTATATAAAGAGATGCAAAAAGTAAATCCTCCCAAACCCCTTACCATTTCCTTTGGCTTAAAAATTTAGTTGACATTTCTAAGAGGGGTATTAACAGGGGGAAAACCCATTGGAGCAAGAAAACAGGTTCTGGCAACAAACATAATCAATTTTTTTGCTGCAATGTAGAACCTAGATGAACATAATTCCAAAATATTGTCCTTAAAAATGACGGATTCCGAGGAAACAGAAATTTTGCAGGCTGAGAGGTCAATGGAATTATTTGATAAGGATTAAATCAAGAAGCACAGAAGTTACTTTAGGAAATTTTACTGGCTGCAATAGCAAGATTTCCTTTTGAAGTTCTAAATCTCATTCAGGCATGTTTTAACAGGATTCCACTTGTAATTTTCCAGTAGATTTCTATTAGACCTTCTACTGGAAAGCAATCAACTTTAATATTGCGAAATTT